ACACATTTAAATATTTATTTATTTATTTTATGTATATAAATGCTCTCTGCATGTATACCTTTTTTTTTTTTTTTTTTTTTTGGTTTTTCGAGACAGGGTTTCTCTGTGTAGCTTTGCGCCTTTCCTGGAACTCACTCTGTAGCCCAGGCTGGCCTTGAACTCGCAGAGATCCACCTGGCTCTGCCTCCCGAGTGCTGGGACTAAAGGCAGGCGCCACCACCGCCCGGCGCATGTATACCTTTATGCCAGAGAGAATATCAGATCCCACTACAGATGGTTGGGAACCCACCATGTGGTTGCTGGGAATCGAACACAGGACCTCTGGGAGAGCAGCCAGTGCTCTTAACTGCGGAGCCATCTCTCCAGTCCCCATTAATGCATTTAACACATGCAGTAGGGCTGTTGCTTCTCCCCTAATTGGGTCTCCAGATACATAGGTCTTAAAGTGGTATACAGTGGAGCACACCTGTACTCACTCAGTACACTGTAGTCACTCAGGTGACTGAGTCAGGAAGATCTTGAGTTTAAGAGCAGCTTGGTTTACTTAGAAGACACACACACACACACACACACACACACACACACACACACACACACACACTTAACCACAGCTGTACTTGTTAAATGGAGACATCAAAGTCTTACCTACCAGAATGTATGCAGAGATGTGAATGCAAATGTCCATGCATGTGTGTGCAGGGGTAAGCAGGTGACATTCACTTCACATTCTGCCTTTTCTGAGACAGTCTCTCATTGAATAGGGAGCTCACTAGTTCATCTGGGTTGCCTGGCCAGCGAGCACCTGGGATCCTCATGTCTCTGCCTCCCCAGTGCTAAGGATGTGCCCCCACCACCTAGAGTGTTTTAAACATAAGGAATCAAACAAAGGGCTTCATTGCAAGTACAGTGAGCACCTTACCAAGTGAGTTATATCCCAAATTGATAACTCAAAGCTCCATCCAGCAGTGAACTGGAGAATTCCATTTACTGCTGTCAGTGAACAGGGATACTGCTGATTGGAGGAAGCCTTATCCATTTCCTGAGCTATGACAAAAGGTAAGTCACCAAAGGAAAAGGCAGGGAGAAGAAGAGAGACTCTTGGGAGCCCCGACCACCTCCCCAAACCAAATACCATTATTTCATCCACGGGCAGCCCCAGCCCTCCTCCCTCCCCTCTTCTGCTTAATGTGAAAATCTGTGCTCCACGAGAAACAGGAGGGCCCTGACTCTGAAAGGGAAAGTAGATTCTGAATCTTCAAAGCATCTGAATCAAAAAGGACTCAGAGGCTGTCCAGAAGCCATTCAAGGAGCTGTCCCCACAGTGCCCTTAGAGTCAAGCCCAAGCAGCAGATGACTCCCCGGAGCAGAAAGCCACCCTTACTGAAGGATGCCAAGGGACAAATGACCAACATAGGAGGCTCAGCCATGCCAGGAGAGACCCGCTCCAAACCCAGAGTGGCTGCCCAAGGCATGTGGGTAGCCAGGGTGGCATGAAAACAGAGCATACAATATCAGTTGTTGTTGTTGTTGTTGTTGTTATAAAAGAACAAGTCCAATTCTTATCTAATAGTCCTAACCTAAAATGTCACCTGTTCTTACTCTCAGATACTTGACATGGCTAGTCTTTTCTTTCTTTCTTTCTTTCTTTCTTTCTTTCTTTCTTTCTTTCTTTCTTTCTTCCTTCCTTCCTTCCTTCCTTCCTTCCTTCCTTCTCTTCTTCTTCTTCTTCTTCTTCTTCTTCTTCTTCTTCTTCTTCTTCTTCTTCTTCTTCTTCTTCTTCTTCTTCTTCTTTTGTTGTTGCTGTTTTTTGAAACAGGGTTACTCTCTGTAGCCCTGGCTGTTCTATAGAACTTGCTCTATAGACCAGGCTGGCCTCAAACTCAGAGATTCACCTGCCTCTGCCTCCCAAGTGCTAGGATCAAAAGTGTGCACCACCATGGCCCAGCTAAGGTCTATGTTACTGCTATCTCTTTGCTCCAAAGGTCTAACATCAAACTTGAAACCACAATAAAATCCTGGCCTCTACAACTGAATATCTAATGGTTCTTCAATCAAAATGCTAAGATTGTTTTTAGGGGCTGGAGAGATGCCTGAGCAGTCAAGAGAATATGCTGATCTTCCAGAGGACCTGAGTTCAGTTCCCAGCACCCATATCAGGTGGCTTTCAACACCCTGTAACTCCCAGCTCCATGGGATCTGGTACCTTCTTCTAACCTCTTTGGACCTGTGCACACATACATGCACATACACACACACAAATTAATAAAGATTATTTCTAATGAAGACTTTTAATAAGCACAAAAAGCTGGCTTGTTTTCTACCCAAATGTCTTCATGTTTGAGCAGTGAGCAAGTATCACTTACATCACTTAATAAAAGTAGTAATGGTGTGCATCCCGTCTTTGAAATAGATGTGAATCAATGAGCACAACATAGAAGCACAGAGGGATGGAGGCCGCAGGCTGTCTGCTCTGCCGACAGTCCATGGTTCTAATGTGAGGTGGCTTCTACTAGTGTGCCCATTTCTGTGCTTCCTACAAAAGGCAAAACCGACCAGAAATGGAGGAACTAGGAACTAATTTTGTAACACAGCCCCAGCCTTGGCTCTCCTCTCTGAAACCCCTCCTCTCCCCTCAGATAGCACCTAGCTCTCTGCAGCCATGTCCTAGGGCCCAGCCCTGCAGAGTGACTGTCCAACCAAAACCTTCCACCTCACAGGCCACCCTCCTGCCTCCAGCAAGTTCAAATGTCAAAATAAAGCATTCACTAAATGCTACTTTGAGTTTTGAGCTGAGATTTCATGACACAGTCTTTCAAAGTTTAATGCCTTTTTATTTGAGAAACTTTCATAACTCATTATTCTTCTGCAAAAAGACATCATAGGACCTTATAGCACACAAACAAATTAGCGTGTTTCAAAGTTCTTTCTGAGATTTACTCTTATTTTCTTAGGACCTACAATTGTGAAAAATGTAGGCTAGAGGTATGATTGAGTGACAGAGTGCTTGGCTAGCATGCACAAAGCCCTGAGTTTAATCCCTAGGACTGCATATAGGTAGATAACTAGGTAAACAGACAGATGATAGATGAGAGAGAGAGAGATGATAGATACAAAGGGTAGAAATAGAGATATATGATACACTATTTCCTATGACCTGACATAGTCTACTCTTAACCTCGGCTCCACCTGATGCCACCCCTTCAACCAGTGACTAGAGACACCTGCACCTGGGTTATAAGCCCTCTGTCCTTGTTTGACAACCTGGGCAACAGGCAGGATGACCACAAACCTTGCTGACCCGAAGCAAAGATGAGGACTGCAACACCAGCCCCACACAGGTTTGGGGAGGACTCCATAGAAGGGCAGGAGCAAGTGCCTGGCCCATGCAGTCCCTGTAAACATGGTGCCTGGCATCTGCAGGCTGGCACCAGCCCTACAAGTTCCAGACACTCTGCTTCATTGATCCTAGGGCAACACTCTGGGTGCAGAAGACAGTAATTACAGCCCAAGTGTTTTCTTTTCTCTTTTTTTTTTTTGTAAACAAAAGAGAAAACTTGGGATTGGGGTGACAAGTCAGAAAGCAGGTTTCTCATCCAGGGCTCTTTTTGCTGTGGGCAGAGTCCTGGCTGAACCTCAGTAGTCTCCACGAAAGATGCCAAACGTCTTTTAAAATATCCAGTTATCCAGACTCCAACCAACTCGCACTGGCATTCCCTTATCACCTCTAGTTATTTAGGTCTTGCATGGTCAAAACAATAATTAAGGATGCATGCGTAGTGGAGAACACCTGTAATCCCAGCGCTTGGGAGGCCAAGGCAGGAGAATAGCAAGTTGGAGGCCAGCCTGGGATATGCAGTGAGTTTAAGGCTAGCCTAGGGAACTAAGAGATTTTTGAGAACTTACTGTGTATCTCAGTCATTGGGCCAAGGGCTTCGCGTTCCCCTACTACATTAAACCCTTTAACAACCCTACTGAGGATGTAGGGAAATCCACTCTATTTTACAGGAAACTGAGACAGGAGTCTAGGACTGGGGTACAGAGACTCTCAGCCCACACCCCACCGCCAATCCTGTGTTTTCCAATTCCCATTTGCAAAAATGTCTTCACACAACCTAGTTAAGGAGACAGGGAGACTGGTGATTAGTATCCCTTTCACAGATGAGGAAACAGAGGCTCCAGAGGCTAAAAGAAGCGCCTCAGTCCCTTGCCTTCTCTCCTTCACCACTGCATGCCCTAACTGCAAAGCCCCAGTCTCAAGCAGGGCTCCATGCTTGGTTTTTGTTCTGTTTTGACTTTGGTTTTTGAGATAGTGTCTCATGTAGCCCAGGCTGTCCTAGAAAAATCTCTGCAATCCTCCGGTCTCAGTCTCTCAAGTGCTGGTATTAGAGGCATGTCCTACCATCATGCTCATTTCCTCGGCTTTCTGACAGTGAGTTGCTGAGGTCTCTTCCTTGCTAAAAAGTGGCCACCCACTTAACTCGATGTCATCACCGGGATTTGGTAGGTGGCCCAGGCTGATAGAGGAAATGGAGTGGGTCTGTCTGTTCGGCCGGCGCTGCCCTGCGCGTCACAGTCCACAATCGGAAGTGGGCGGCGAGCAGCCCCCCGGGAGGTGCGGGCTGCAATTCTCCACATCTCTCCCAACCTCGCCCTGCGTCTGCACCAGCCACCCGAGGCTGGCTGCAGGGAGCCCCGAAACCGACCCACACTCGGGCGCACTCCACGCCTGCCGGGCCACCCCGACACGCGCTGGGAAGAAGCGACCTGGCGCGCCCTCCGCTGACTGCGCTCCCGGATCGTCCGTGGTCACCGGGCTGGAACGTGCTAGGACCTGAGCTGCAGTGGCAGCTGGAGACGCGACCGCCCTCACCCTGCACGCCCCGCTCCCTGCCTCGGTTTCCCTCCCCTGCACCAGGGCACATTGGACCAGAGTTGTAACCCGAGCCACGCCCGGATTTCGGCAGGCCGCGTTCACCCTCCTCGTGACTCCCCGGCCCTACCTGCGCCGTGGCTCCGGCCGTAGACCGGAGCGCCCCGGGGACCCCCGCCCTGCATCGTGCCGCCTGCTGCGCCCGTGCCGGCGGCGCTGGAGGCCGCGGGAGGCGGTGGGAAACGGGCAGGGGGCCGAGCCGAGGGGAGGCTCCTTCCTCCTTGCCAGGACCGCCGCTTCCTCTCCAGCCTCGGCCCCTTGCACGCCTGCCCGCCCGCACGCGCGCGCCGCCCCTCGCGGCTCCCAGACCGCAGGGCTCAGAAAGTTTTGCTTTTCACTTGGGCGAAACCAAGAGGGGAAGTGAGATGGGGCTGGGTGTCCAGGGACCGAAAGACTGGGCGCTTTCCCAGAGCCTGAGAGTGAAAGAGAGGATGGAGGAGAAGGCAGAGACTCCTTCCTATCAAGTCGGGTGAAGCGGGAAGAAAAGTGACAGATGACAGGGCGGTGGGGTGGGGGAGCGGAGCAGCTGTTCAAAAATGACTTGTGACTCCAATGTTGAGACTCGCTGGCAGCGCTGGGCTGCCCGAGCACACAGGCCTTGGCCCGTGCCAAGCTCATGGCAGCTGGCTCACCTCCTCCATCTCTTCCCTTTGGCTCCTTCAGCGAAGCACCTGCTACAGGACAGTGGGCACGGGGCCAGGCCTTTCATGACCTCGACTCTGGAGCCGGAGGCAGAAATAAGCCTACGAAACTGAGCTCAATGAAGTAGTCAGCCAGAAGTCCAAGGCCGGAGCCCTAGCTGTGGGTGGAGCCTGGAGCAGAAGCCGGCATTGTGAAGAAGCATGGGAGAGTTTCTGCAGGAAGAGAGGGACTTGTGACAGCTAGAAGAGGGACAAGGCCCTGGGAGAGGTGGTGCAGGGTACATTGCCTGTTACGAGGGGCCTGCGGGACAGCACAGGTGGATGGGGCTAAGTTAATAAAGACATGAGCAGAGAGTCTGGATTTAGTGCAGTGTGACAGGGGTGGAAAAGGCACTAAGTCAGTGTCCCAACTAGCTTGAACTGTCAGTGTGACATAACCTAGGGTCCTGTGAGAAGAGAGCCTGAGTCCATGATTGCCTAGATCAGTTTGGCCTGTAGCATGTCTGTAAGAAATGTCCTGACAGTTAACTGGTGTAGGAAGGCCCATTTCACTGTCGACTATTTACTAAGATGGGTAGTCTTGAACTATATAAGAAAGCCCGCTAAACAGAAGCCCATCTATCTATGAGCCAGCTGGCAAACAGCATCCTTCATGGATCCTGCTGTATCTCCTTGGCAGGGAAGTGAGTTCTTGGTTGGAGGTTAATGCTGTGTGGAATAGCAAGCAGACCTGCCTTCAGATCCCTGCCTTGACTCCCCTCCATGGTGGGCTGTGATCTGGAGGTGTAAGTTAAATTTAACCCTTTCCTCCCCTGAAAGGTATCCCACAGTCAATATAGTTAAATTGGCCAACCTGCCATAGAACATTCCCAGGTATATCTGAACCACACCCAAGGATAGCCAGGAACACCTCCCAATACATAAAATAAACTGTCTTAAAACAGGGGGCTGGAAAGATGCCCCGGCAGTTCAGAGCACATGCTGTTCTTGCAAAGGACCAGAGTTCAGTTTCACAGCATCTATATTGAGCAGCTCACAACCACCTGTCACTCCAGCTCCAGAGGACTGATCTGATGCCCTCTTCTGGCTATCACTGGTACCCACACACAGAGACAGACAGACAGACAGACAGACACACACACACACACACACACACACACACACACACACACACACAATTAAAGAAAAGCATTTTTTTAAATGTAAAATACTGCCAGAATCAGATTTTTAAACTCAATTGCCACCTTGTTTGTGAGTACCTGTCTACACACATACTCACATATGCACACACATAAAAGTGAAGGTGGTTTTGTCTCCCATGAGTGCTCACCAGGAGGTGACCTCAAGCGGAGGACTGCAATGACCAAGTAGATGGATGGCATGATCTGAAGTTAGCAGCAGTCTCTTTCTCCAGCTGCCCTGCTGTTACCCATGCATTCGTGGTGGCCATGGCATTGGGTTCAGCAACCTAGATCTCTATTCAATAAGGCCCACCCAGCTGCAGCAGCCACTGTGCCTGATCTGCCAGCAGCAAAGATCAACACAGAGTCTCCAACACGGCACTGCTCCCCGGAGGTCAGCCAGCTTCCTGGCGGCTGCTTCCTTACATTAAACCACTTCCATCACAGAAGGGGCAGAACCGTGTCCTTATTAAAATATAGCCTTCTCTCATATGACGTTTCTGCTAAATCCCATGGCCCTTGGTTCGTGCCTTGTAATCTTGGAGAGAATACTTGGGAGACTTATTGCCCTAAGCTCAAGGCCAGCCTAGGGCTACATTCATTTGTTTATTTTAAAATATGCCAATTGGTTTAGAATATGAATATCTGAAGCCTTGCAGAGAGGCTTGTCTGCCATTGCACATTGCACAATGCAGATATGCATTGTCCACACCGCCCTGCTACCACAGGGTGACCCTCACAGCAGAGCAGCATGGTGACAGGCCACACTCATTACAGTCCCTATCCTGCCAGAGTTGGCAGACAGTAGGATGGCCTTCTGAAGTCTCCATTACATCCCCAGGGAAGTACAACATCCAGAAGGGTCGTCTGTATGTTATGGGAATTATTGTCCAGTATGACAGGCTGGATTCTTGGGCCCAGGAGTCAGGAGGAAGTAGAGCAGCACTCCCTGTTCACCCTTGAGGATCTACTGGCAACGTGTGCACATCCTATCTCCACACTCTCATGCCCTGATGGCCAGTGTTGTGACACTCCCCCACCCCCAAAGGGTGACACTGTATTAATTAAGGTTCTTAACTGTGATTAACCACAACCAATATAATCCACGTTAAGTACAAGGAGTTCTGCTAAGAATCCAGGCAGTTCACAGAGTCAGGAAGCAGGGTTAGGCTGGTGCTCTGCAAAGACCAGAGCCAGCCTGAGGATGCCAGAGACCCCAGCAGCACCATCACTGCTGCTCTTCTGGTAACTCCTGCTTCTCATTACTCCTGGCTTCATGGGTTTCTAATGCAGCCACATGGAGAACATGACCCACTTGGAGCCAACTCCAAACCTCCAGGAATGAGATCCTGTTTAACCCAGTGGAGGTGAGAGCCTACCACTCATGCCTCCAGGGTATTCAGATGGAGCCACATAAGAACACAGGACAACACAGGGGTAAGGGACTCTATGAGCAGGACAGCCATCCCAAAATTCATCTACACTAAATGTCATGGTGAGGACCAGCCACTGTCAGTCCTGCTGCTTCAAGCAAACAAGTGACACCTTTAATTTCCTCTGCTTTTGACTCTCATTCTGGATGCTGAGGTAAGTGTCTCCCCACAAAGGATTACTGAGCACACAACAAGGAGATCACTGCTCTATCAACAAGTTAAACACTGTTGGAAAGCTCTTCCTATTCTTCATGAGAGCAGAGATAGGCTCCCAAAGAACAAGTGATATCTGAGGCCCCAGCCCGGAGTCTGTGTCCGTCACTGGCCAAATCCGCAACTGCTCTTCACATAGAAATTGCATAATCCACATATCACATTTGCCTGTGATATGCATATTAAAATCAAGAGGTATGCATCTGCAGCCAGAAGCCATGAGCTCAGAGGACAACACGTAAAACTCTTTTCCAAGTCGATGAATTTCCAAAGTCACATTTGAGAACACAGGACTCGGGAGTTGATCAGGTGACAAGTCACACCTGCTGAGCACTTCCCACACGCTGGGTACTGCTCTACCCAGACTAATCTTGTTATATTTATTTCACCCTTACAGACAGCTCAGCTAGTGAGGACTAGAGCTTGCTAGAGCTCTTGCAGGAGGCACAGCAGGAGGTGTGCAGGAAGGTAGGGACTGGAGAAGGCAGAACCCAGACGGACATAGGAAAGACAATGTCCAAAGAAGTTGACAATGTAAGACTGGAAACCCCTCACCTGTGTGGCACGTGGCCAACAGAGCATGTGCAGAAAATGTGATGCATAAATGGCCTGAGGAAGCATGCCCTAGGAAGGGCCATGCGCTTCACAGCAGCCCCTTTTCCTCACTTCACTGGCCCACCCCCACACCCAGCTGTGTGCTGCCTTGCCTTCTCTCTCTCTCTCTCTTTCTTCTCCTTCTTCTTCACCTTCTTGTTATTATTCCTTTTCCGGGGGGAAGAGGGATGTACATGCTATAACATGCACATGGAGGTCAGAGGACAGCTCTTGGGAGTCAGCTCGCTTCTTCTACCATATGGGTTCCTTGGATGGCGTTCAGGCCATCAGGGTTGACAGCGAGTGCCTCTGCCAGCTGAGCTGCCTGGCAGAACCAAACCACCTCTATTTCTCACGGCGTGTTCCTGGTACACTCCTCTGTCCTGAGGCACAAGCACCTGGAAACTTCAGCGGGAACATCGTGCCCCTGGATTCAGCTCAGTCGCTGTAACAGAGATTCAAACCCAGGCAATCAGGCCGTGGAAGGCAGGTGTCCAGCTAGCAGGACACACTGAACTAGACAAAACTGACATTGATTTGCTCCTCTGTAGTGGGACCTTTAGGATATAAATCATGTATATGGCCACATTTTCCTGCATAGCATCCCTCCTCCTGCTTGTATTCCACAGTGGGTGGAAGGAGATCAAATGGGTGGTGAGAGCCATGCCAGGCAGGCATTGGGTTCACCTTCCTCCTCAGGGTCTAATCCCAAACTCTTTAAAAAGTCATGCCCACGTCATCCAGGCAGCCTCCAGCTGGAGCCTGTTGGAATGTGCTAGCTAAACTGGGATTGTGATGGGAGGCAGACTGGGAGATTTACCCCTCAAGGGTTCTGTGCATTCTCAGTGTGGCAAAGACAAATAGTCCAGGGCATTCCCAGCTCACGCCAGGCTGGTGTAAGAAAGGTCCTCACTGAGAACAATGGCAAGGCCTAGACAATTCTGGGAAATTTAATCATCTAAAAGAGATCTTTCTTTTTTAAAAAAAAATAATAATAAAACAAACTTGAATGAATTGAGGAAGAGTAATCTGTCTTCAACCCCGGAAATCGTGTAGACAGCATGAAGACTCCCATCTGTGAATGCCTGGAAGAAGGAAGCGGCTTCCCACTTAGACCAGAATCAGATAACATCACGGTGGCTTAGACCAACACATCACGGAAGCAGCCATCCTTCAGTGTTGTCAGCAACCCATCTCAGGAAGATGAGCACGAGACACTAGAGGAGGCTGCGGACTTC